TATCCTGTAAGTTTTATAGTTAGTAGCGACCGTTCGCACAGGCAGACTGAGTGCCAAGCTCCTCCCAAAATCACCAGGATTAACCACACAAGCCACTTTTTTCTTGTTTTTTTTTTTTTTTTGTTTTTTTTTAATTGTGGACAAGAAAGACAAAGTTAAAATATGTACTTACCAAAAATGTTGATTTTCAGCCTTGTATCGTTGGTTGCAACTCTCACTTCATTATTATTTTCTGACTTCAAAAAAACTCTGGAGTCTGAACGAAGAAATTCTCTGGGAAAGTAAATAGTAATTTCCACGTTCGCTGTCTGCAGCTGAGCGTGTAACGCACATGCGCAAACGGCCACCACCAAGAACTGTGTACCACTCGGTGAGGGTCCAACACCATTCAGACTGGTACGGGACGAACTCAGGTAGGAGGTTCTCGAAATGTCTGTTCAAGAAGAGTACATGTATAAAAAAATGTCCCTTTTTTTCTTATCAGTGTCAACAATTATGTTCAGGTCAAAAATAATTTGGTGTTACAATTGATACCAAAAATATCCTCTTCTGATTGTTTTGCAACTGAGCAGAACGATTAATCTAAAATATTGATATTTAGATTTAAAAGCACTGGAGATGAATGTCAATATAAAGCACAAACCTTCAACTGACTCGTTTGCATCTGTTTTTTGCCGCTTTTTCCAGTAACAAAAATAACACAGTGCGGACACCATGAGTCCAAGGATGAAAAATGATACCAATGCACTGAAAATGATGACTAGAAGCTTCTCTGTTCCATTTGTGTCAGCTGACAGCTTGATTTGGGGCGCGTACTGAAGAAAGAAATGGTAGCGTCTATATGACAGAGAGAGAGACAGAGAGAGACAGAGAGAGAGAGAGAGACAGAGAGAGAGAGAGAGAGAGACAGAGAGAGAGAGAGACAGAGAGAGAGAGAGAGAGAGAGACAGAGAGAGAGAGAGACAGAGAGAGACAGAGAGAGAGAGAGAAGGGAGGGGTAGGGAGGAAGGCTGGCGGCTAGTGAGGTTAGTAAAGAGGTAGGTAAGTAGGAAGATTGGTAGTAAAGCAGATAGGCAGGTTAGTAAAGAGATAAGGAGGTAGGTCCATAGGTAGGAAGGGAGAGGGTTAGCTGGAAGTATGTTTGGGCAGGTAGGGGTTAGTTCATGATATATCACTGGACTAGATTGTGGCATGGTAGTCGATAAATAGTTAAGAAAGACTTACCACTTCTAACAATATTGAATTGTTATCCGCAAGTGCTGTGTAAGATATCTTTACGAGTGAATTATTGTCGTCCTCTGGGGTTGTGGTGAGGAGTTCAATCCAAAATTCGCTGCTCTCGTAAAAAAATATTTTTCCCTGTTATAAGAAAAGAGACGATAAATGCAACATAGACAATATTTCATAACTAATAAAAGAGACACTCAACTTGACTAGAGGGAACGCCGCTGAGAGTCCTTCAGTTGTTTGGACGTACAACAAAATTCGCTGTTGTCCGCGCATCCCGACAAAGAAAGAAGAAGGAAAGAGGCCGAGAGAAAAACACGTTTAAAAAAATAAGAGGCGTGACCAAAATAAAACGAAATATTAAAAAAAACACACACACAAAAAAAAAGAAACATGAAAAAGTTTTTGATCGTCGTTAACAGCTAACGAAAATCTTACTAAAATCTACCGATCCTCGACCTAACAGGGCACCGATCACTCACTGGTAAATTGTGGCGAATAATCAAAGTCCTGCTGTGTTCACTGGCGTTACTGTAGTCCACTCTATCGCCAGTTTCTGGAAGGCCAACGAATTTTTGGTACGTTTTTATGGCTGACGTTGTTGAAGCCATGAAAACAGAAAAAAAGAGTGGAACGAGTCTTCGAATTGATGGCTGCGTCGTCATTTTATCTATGGAAATCACCCCAAAGTAGATAAAAATATCGTTACTGATGCAGTCAAAACCGACAAATACTCAAACAGAAGGCTTAATACTACTAAATAAAATAATTCCAAAGAAAATGGGGACCATGAACCCACTGGTTATTATAACATAATCATCATGATATCACCTTTATTGTAACGTTATTATCAACATTTCTTTTGCTCACTAACTGTAGCTGGTCCATACAATACTCAAGTTCAATGTATCGGTAAAAATTGTACATGCCCTGAGGCCGTAGATTTCGTCATCCACAGCAGAATTTGTTAATTTACTTGTTGTTTCGTTAAAACGCTAAGCACTGAAAAAAGGACGAGAAACTTAAAAGAATTCGCCTTTAGCGTTTGCAATTTCCGCTTTCACACGCCATTTTCATGTCGCAATGAATAATTTTCTGTCCATCAATTCATTTCTTCTGAAAATCGCTCACAATGATATATATTCCTACTTTTCCGTAGCCTCTGGACACGACAGATAAACATCACGCGTCATACGTCAAACATTTATTCAGAGCGCACGGCTAACATTTCTTATCAGCAATAAAAGCGTCTACAATGCAAGCTTTGTCCGTCAGTTCCAAAGTTAGACTGAATAAGACAACTAGCATATAAATTACGGTTGGTAGCATTTATGGTGTGCGCCGTGAAGGAAAACTTACCTCATTAGAAGAGTCTTGTGTCGCAGATAACAACTTGCCGGACAACTCTCAGAACTTGTCAATTCTCAACAACAGCACATATAACTTACCTATTATAATATCTTCTGAAACAAACCCGTTCAACATCCTCTGTTATACCAGAGTAATCGTTGCTTTAAATACGTACAACTCATCTCCACTAAAAACTACTTGTCCATTTAAGGTCAGCCTCAATGTCTGTCTATATTTTTATCGAACGGAACGGAAATGTTATTAAAGAAGTCATTGAGATAATAAGAGTCATGCGGGTGATGACGTAACAGAGCACATCAAGGGGCGCGTTTAGTTTGTTTGTTTATTTTTTTACGAACGAAACGAAATAAGTCAAATATGGTGAAATGAATTTAGGGACATTGATTCAAATTTCTTCCATTAAATTCTCTCTGTTTAATGCTCTGTAAAACAAAAGGTATTCTCAACAAACCTCTCAAAGTATTATCTTCAAAGCTGGAACTGTTAGTCAACTTGAATGTGTTCCAACGGGTCACGCATGAGCTACTCCAAGAGCATGTCACGCAATGTATTCGAGTCTGACGCGAGCGGTTTCATCGCGCGAGAGTATTGGTATTCCACGCACATTTGAGTGAGTGGAAGTTTTTTTGGCCTCGCAAATATTCACAAACCTTTACTATGATGTACAGCAAAATGAAATGCATGCAGAAACAGTTTTTTTCCCTCTATTATTTTGAGGTCTATCTTTTGCAACTCTTGCTTCGTCTTAAGGCTTCTGTAGCTTAAGTTTCTTTCATCGAAATCATGATCACGGACAACAAAAATAAATGATCGCCTCTTCCTCGCAAGATCGTCATTAGGATGAATAAAACAAAACTCTCGTCAGGATTGGGAGTGGTTCTCTCTGGCTGTCTGGTTTAATTATTTTTTATCTTAATTTTTTTTTCTTTTTCGAAGTGTAAACACCTCACAAATGACACAGATGAAGAACGACAATCGTAGCCATGACACTTTATCAATATGTACTTCCCCGGTATTGAGAGCTGATAAATCTAGCCCGAAATGTAAAGATCACCGGCTTTTAATTGCTTTCAAGAGGGTATTTAAGCTAAGAAGTCATTCAAATTTAGATCATCTTGTTTAGTGTCAGCCAATTTCGACCGAATTCCCGTGAATTGAAAAACCAAGAATTTGTTAGATAGTTTCGAGTATAACGTGTTAGGCAAGCGGAAGAAAATTATCCTCCTTCTCTTCTACTTACAGCCGTTTTTACACATCCGTTAAAATGTTTTTCTTAACCCTCTGCATATCTTTTCTTCCATATCTTTCCAACAGGCCTAATTAAAAAACCAGAGCTCAATTTTTCCGTTGTATAGAAAAACAGTCATGCTCAAATTCACCACTGTCCGTTAAAAGAGATGTTATAAAGTGAAATAACTTTATTTAATTGATTTCATAATTTTTTTTAATTCATTGTAGTCAGATTTGGGTGACCGTGGGAATCTAAACGCCTAACCATGCAAATGCTTGCTGTAAGTTCAACTGAATACGGATGCATGGGCATATTTAGAGTAGTGATTGAAATCTTGAAAGAACTTCCTCGTCAAAATAGAATGTCGAGACAAGTAACGCCATTTGTTTCTTTTCGTGCACGTGAAGGGGAGACTAGGATTAGCTGGGAAATTCAATCCTGTAAGAGACAAGCAACGCCATTTGTTTCTTTTGGTGCATGTGAGGGGGAGACTAGGATTAGCTGGGAAATTCAATCCTGTAAGAGACAAGCAACGCCATTTGTTTCTTTTGGTGCATGTGAGGGGGAGACTAGGATTAGCTAGGAAATTCAATTCTGTAAGTCACTCCGGTACTATGTGGCTTGTACTTATTTTAGAGGCTTAGCCAATATCAGTATCTGGGCAACTGCCCACCTACCCCTCCCCTAACCCAACAACAGTCTATTGATGACAAGTTAGGGTTAATGTTGGGTTAGGGGAGGGGTAGGTGGGCAGTTGCCCAGATACTGATATTGATCCGAAATTCCTTATGTCAACCACAACTTGGAGTAAGCCTCTTTTGCATTCTTTTTATTAGTTTATTTTTAAAATGAGACATTGCTGTAAATTCATCGAAAAAGTTTCTAACAACTGTTAAAAACAGTGAATGAGTCTTATATTACCAGCTTCGCTTCTTGTGTTATTTCTTTCTTGAAATAATTTCATTACTTTATATACACAATATTATACAATACTAGTTCGATGCTGATGATTGAGAAAAAGAACCGAAATTATACGCTTCTAATGAAGCGCAGTGGTTTGTTTGCAAAAATGTTTAACACGAGTCTAGGTTAGTTCTTTTCGTTACGCACTTTCCATAAAAATTATATGAACATATTTACAATAAAAGGTTCTCAATTTGTAACACTTTTTTTAGCAGGTTTGGACAGATTCTCGTGAACTATTGATGCTTTCTGTTGAAGCCGTGAGGAAGACTTTAGGAATCGTTACTTTACGATGATCTCCGTGTTTGTCATGTATGTTTCTGCCATCGTGTTCATCTTCCGACTCCACTGTTTTCAAATGAAATTGCTCCAGAATTTCAGCTGGCAGGGCTTTATACAAGTGAACTTTTTTCAACCGAACCATTCCTCTTGCCTTAAAGAACAGAAATACAACGTAGGTAAGAGCTGTGATTATCAAAATCGACAAGGCAGCCGCCAGAATGAAATAAACCGTCTCCAATATTATATTTCGTATGGCGTCCACAAACCGTTTTGATTCGCGCTTAATTCGCTGGCGGTAAGCGTCACTTTCGTAATCCTCATAAGGTGTTCCTTCCAGTGTCGGGATAATACAGGAGTGGAAGTTAAAATTCAGAAGAGATGCTTGTTCCCCAAAGCAGTTTTTCGGGTCATCCTCCAGGGAACAGAGTTGTCTATTAAGTCGTTCCATGCGCTCTTGCTGTTCCTTGTTGAGGTCCAAGATCATGCTGTTGTATTCACTGATGGAAGCACTTACGGATTCCTTGTACTGATCCAGTGCATTGTTATTGGTGAAATCCACCTGATCTTCTATGGCGAGGTTTGTGAAGCGGAGGTCCGTGTCCAGACGAGAAGCAATCATATTGTATCCACCAAGTTCTTCTATAACGGTCACATTCATTACATTATAAAGTAAAGTGACGATAAGGTACAGTGTAGCTGTAGACAAAGCAATTATCATGATCAGCGGGAGCAGATTTGTGCGCATGATACGTTTCTGAAGACTCTTACAGAGCGCTATAAACCTTGAAAACGTCTCAGCGAGGAGGTCAAAGGTCCTTCGAAGAAGTTTCTCCGCTCTTTCCTTGATTTTGGATTGTTTTTCGTCAAATTCATCCTCGTCGTGGCTTACAATTTCCTCAAATCCTTCGATTAATTTAAAAGCAATTTGGTAGGTTTTCGACCCGCGATATATGAAGAGCAGAATATCGAGCAACACAAACACGCCTAAGACGGCCTTTCTGGTCGTAGAGAAAACTTCAGCGTCATACACTTTGGTAACATTTCTTATTTTTGCTTTCCTTTCAAGGAGTTCTTCCTTTTGGCTGTCGACCATTTCTTCCATGATATCTCCCTTTTCAATGTTGTAGAAGGATCCTCCTTTTGCAGACTTGATGATGGATGACTGGCTTGCTTTTGAAACGTTTGAAATTGTGTCTAGGCCATAGACATCTTCGTAGACAATGCGCTCGGAGAAGAATTCGGTATCTGTTTTATTTTCGTTAAATTCTATAACAGAGTCATTCGAAGCAAAGAAGTGACTGACTTTCCCTTCAAAACATTCGGCTTTGCCTTTTGCCCACTCCTCACCCTCGTCGACCAGCTTCCGTATACCTTTCTGCACTTGTTTCTTTGCGGATTTTAACATATACCGTAGAGGACACATGAGTATGGTGCTAAGGGGGTGTTCAGGCGACTTGCCGGTCTTTAGGACTTCGCTAAAGTCCCCCAGGCCTTCTTTTACATATTCTAGCTTGGAAATGATGTTATTTTCGGCTTGAATGAGTTTTTCTTGATCTAAAGCCCCAACGTAATCAAGAAATCCAATGAGGGAACTGTCCGCTATGCTCCGTTTTCTTCTGATGGAATATCCATTCTTGTTTTTCTTGCTGGGCCCCCCATTGTTTTCATTACCGCTTGATTTTTCATCCTTTGGATGATAGAATTGTCGTGTTGAGTTACCATTAACAACGATTCCTCTCCTCTTCCGGGATGTTGACATCTTTATTTCATATGCCCCTTTCGGCAAAGCAAACCAGCCATTGTTGAAAACTCTTTTGGCGTAGTTCGTCAAACTCTCCTTGACTTCCTTTAACTGTCTCTTGGTACCCCCCTGAAATTCGTTTATTCGCTCGTCAATGTCTCCCTTTAATTTGTGAACTTTTTCTTCTACATTGCTGACAATTTTCCTACTTAATTTGTTAAACATTTTCAGGTGGTTTTCCTGTATCAGGCAAGTACTGTTGAACCTCAGCCAATGCAGCTGTAGGCCAATAAAGTAGTCGCAAGATCTCTGTATGTCTTCGCTAGCGTCAAGAAGACGTTTGACTTCTCTTTCACGATGTTGATCCATTTGTAAAGCGATAGCATTACTCTCTTCAATTTTTTCGTGCACAAAGTTTTGAAATTCTTGAATTATTTTCATATTGTCGGCGTGAAGAAGCGTCAAAATGGCGAAAGCCATCGAAAACGTAAACGCCATACTGTAAAGTATTCTAAACACGGCAAAGAAGGCAACCAAGATGAGATGCCTTCGTTTGAGTCTGTTTTCGTCTTTTGGCGGAGTAGTCGCCCTCCCAACTTCAGTTTTACCCATAGATACTTTCTTGTTCTTAACGAATTTCCACCCAGAATGATTCTTATCTGTTGAAGTATCCTTGTCTTTTTGCGTGACCTGTGCATAGATGATCAAACACAGCAGAGAAAGAAGTACACAGCCCGTGATAACGAAGAGTGGCATCAATATCATCCAAGGGTTTGGTTCCGTATCATGATGTTTCTCCACTGGTTCTCTCACTTTCCTGGCTTCTTTGTCAACTAGGGCTAACGTCAGGTCCAGTTTTTGTTTAGCGTTAGAGAAACGAACGGTAAAAAGTCGCTCCTTATCCTGTAAACCGTTCCTTGGAACTTGTATGTCCATCTCGAATTGGGTCGCTGGACAAAGTATCACCACATCTTGATGCATAACTCTCAAATTATCCACTTCATCGATGACTTCAAGAGTAAAGAAACCAGGACAAGTGGTCAGAAGTCCACCGATCCTAGCATTCCAACTAGTGTTTGTTCGAGTCAAACTACTTTTAAATGTCTCGTCATTACGAATTGTCGCATTAGTCAGGACATGCTTAAGAATCGATTCATTTTCAGAAATGGTCACTGTCATCATAGGCGATCGCTGAGAGTTCTGTAAACGATATGCAAACTCGCCCTGGGATTGAACACCAAGATGCTCCACTTTTGCAGGTATCCATTCTGAAATAGGACCGCGAATGGTCTTTGACCAATCAGAAAGACTCTGGCAGTTACCACCATCACTCCAAGTTCTGGTGGTGATTGAAAATGGTGTCTTGGTCAGAATCTCAATTGTGCCTGCCTCGCTAGCTCTAGCTAAAGTTATGTTTTCTCCCTCCAAGCTAGCTACCGTGTATTTGTACGGTTTATTTTCAGTGTCCCTCTGGGCTCGAAGATAAAGTAAATTAGGAATATCAAAATTCACTGAGTGGGAAACTTCCAAGGAGTCGAGGCGATTAGTTCCCTGGTGCATCACTGACTTAGAATCTTTTCCTGACGTAGTTTCCAAGGTTTTAGAGATCCATTGTGAAACGAAGCGTCCACTCTTGTGCTTTACTCTGTATCGTAGGGTATACAAGGTCTTTGGGACATTGTGTTGAAGAAAGCAATTAAACTGTAACTTCAAGTTAGATGGCTTGTTCATGGTCAATTGAAACTGGCTGGTGTCTCCTCTAGCGCATTTCTTTGGTATCTGGGTGCAGTTGTACTCCCTGTAGAAATCGGAACAGCTAGAAAGGCAGTCTTTGTAGCAACAGGAGCATGAGCTGTCTGCATGACTTGCAGATTGGTCACAATGTGAACATTTACTTCTACACATTCTGCAAGCGCGATATGCATGCGCGCAAAAATGTGTCGGAAAGGAAAACAACGGCTTTTCTTTAAATTCAGCTTTGTTTAAGCCAAATATATCGGTGATAATATTGGTGTAGTTTGTACAATACAGTTTGTCCAAGCCTGTTTGAAGTACACAGTCTCTCTGATTATGTTTTGAGCAGATGGTGGAAGTTTCCGCAGTTTCACAAGCGTCATTCAAAGATCTGTAATGATATAAGTCACCTGGTGCGACGTCATCTGGGCACAGTCGTCGTGAATGGTGAAAACACTTGGCGGGATATACCTTTGTCTGGCGGTTACGCTGCAAGACATGATGGATGGTGTAGTGATTTGGTGCTGGATACCTGCAGTAGTTGTGAAATACGGCAGAGAATCCTGGCACACCTGCAAATTCGAGATTTTCCTCATAGGAGTTCCCTGCATCATAATCACTGTACGTTGGAACTAGGTTGGCCTCGTCAATTATTACGTCTACGTGAAAGTTTGAATTTCGATGCAAACGAGCTTGCTTCGATGAATTTCCTTGAAGGAAAAAGGTTTCACTCGTCCTGTTTAACCAGAGGCGATCTTCGAATAGAACGAATTCTTTCGATGGTGAAAGCACAAAAAGCTTGCTGCCTGATTGAGCTGATAACAAAAAAAAAAGATACATATATCTATATCAGTTGTTTAAATCAGCAGAATCTCAAGAAAATTTTGAAATGCATGGCATTTCAAGAAATCAACTAGTATGGCATGCTGTGTAATCATGAACACCAGACATGATTTTCGGATAATAAGCTGCAAAGAGACTAAGACGTATAGATAGACGGGCTGAGTTACTTTGTGAAGAAAATCTGCTGAATGAAAATTCGGGCTGAATTTTTACTGTTAGGTTAACCTAAGGGACAATTTAATGCGAATCAGATCGATAGGCAAAAAAGAAGCAATAAGGCGAGATCTTGAAGGAAAGGGTGAACGATGGACTCGAGCCACACATCGTCACAACAACTGTGACATTTTTTACATAGCCTGCATTAATGATATTGATCATCGGTCTTACCTTCGAGGGTTTCCTTATCATTTACTCTTTTGCTCAACGTTAAGGGCTTGGATATATCTGTCATAGGAATTTTCAGAAAAAAAGTTGGAGTCTGAGTAAGAAATCATAATTCATCTATATAATTTTGTTTACCATTCCTTATCAAAGGTGCATTAAGCCAAGCGAGCCTCGAAAGGAAAAAAAAAGCGCTTTCTCATGGAAGTTATCCAAACTGTAACTAGCAAAGACTAATGAAGTTGAAAACAACAGTCTGTTTACTCACCGACGCACTTTCGGTCGAAGGTTAACCCACAGCCATACGCTTGATATGTCGTCTTTTCGCATTTCGGGCTACAAGCTGTAAGTTGAAAACCAATAAAGCTTGAGTTAGACGTTCTTTCAAGTCGTAATGAAGTCAGGGTAGTACAAGACGTAAGTCGATCTTTAAGTTCACGATAATGTCTATAGCAGAGTCACACTTACCTGTGCACACCCGGTCGCTTGTCCTTGTGCACGATTCTGATTGGTAAGAATTTTCTGGACAAGGGGTAGTGCTGCAAGCTAAACCGAACTTTGATGTAAGTAGATGCTGTGCTACCAGTTCTTGAACCGGAAAACATTTCATATTTCACAATAAATAAAATAATAAATTTAAAAAAGAGAGAAATTTCTTCAAGTATTTAGGATATGCGAACAATTTCGGAAGATTAATTAATTTTTTTTCACAGCTTTCAGCATTCTCAAAAACTCATTACGCACGTCTTCAGAGGAAAATGGACTTAGATCTAAAAATACCTTTGCACGTGATTCCATCTCCCCAGTATCCTTCATCACACGTGCACAGAAAACCACCAATGGTATTGTTACACATGGATCGCACATGACAGTTATGCTTTTTTCTGGTGCATTCATCAATATCTATAACAAAATCAGTGAAATTAGTAAAAATGAGGAAAATGAGGAAAATCTGCTCATCGACGCTTCAAGAGGAGACCAATTATCCTCTCTTGCTTGTACACTACTTAATCTCTCCTTTTATTTATAATAATCATACTCATAATAATAAAATAATAATAAAAACTGTATAAGTCTTCCAGATTACTATCACAATCTTTTGCTACTAAAATCAACAGATATTTTGACATAGGATACACACCATGGCAGGTTCCCCTGTTCATTTCATATCCTCTGGGACAGATGCACCCCTCTGACTGTCCGTCACAAGCAAAGTGGCACGAGTCGGGGCATTTACCTAAGGGCGATACTTTTTTTGAAGCTGATGGTATAGCTACAAAGAAAGAAAAAAATAAAGATTACGATATGTTCAAAGCCACTGATGAAGACCGGTACATGTTTTTGCTTCAAATGCTTGATTTTTTGTAATCAGTAAGTTCTGAAGGTGAAAAGAAAGATTAAGGAAGATGCATACTTTGTTCCTCCCACAATCATTTTTTACTCTACTCCGAGTGAAAAATTACCACAATATAATCAATCAGATCAATCAATCAATGTATTTAATGGTGTCGGTACGCTTAGCTAGAAAGCTAGGTTACAGGTACGCCACAAAAAAAAACATGGAAAAAAAAATAAAAGCCTTCTGAAGGTGTATAAATTTAAGATGATTTATAGAAACTTACCAAACTGTTGAAATTGGTTCATTTTTGCTCTAAATCCTCTGGATAATAACAGCCTTCCGTGGAAATCCTCATTGAAGAAGATCTTTGAGCCGTTTCCGACAAAATTTGCTGGCACGCAAATGACGATTTTAACTGAGGGTGCTTTGGTCGTTGCTAAGGCTACTGCGATTAAAGTGAGTACCAGAAAAGCTGTTCGTACTGATATCAAGGTCGAGGACTGGGTAGGCACAGTTCTTGTTCGTCGAGGAGCCTCTGAGTCATGGCTTTTCCCTAGTAAGGTGTCAGTAAAGGTGTCAATTTTGTAATTCCTGGTAGCAGAAGTGGAAAACCTAACTTCTATCATACCCTGTTACTAAAGGCCTCGCTTACAAGTTATTTATAACATGATGGTGTTATGTGACAAGATGCCGGTAAAGTCGACATACACCGATCTCTAGGCCGGGTGGAAAAGCAAACGTGCTTTTTAACGAATCAATCATAACTAAAACAAAAAACAAATAACTTATTTACTTGTGCATGAGTCCTGTTGATATTTATCCGAGGGCGTGCGTGAGCAAACACGGTGCTGACAATTATTTTATTCAATTAATATTAGGAGATATATTTCAGAATTACCTTCCTTTTGAAGTTTTTTTATAGTTTCTGTAGTTACTATGGTTTTACTTTTCTCTTTTCCACTGTCCTCTTCAACTGGTAATTGTGGAGTTTCGAAAGTAGCAATTTTCCCTTCATTTAAAGAAAAAAGTTTGTAAAATAAGGTTTTATTAAAAATAAGATTTGATTTTGAGCTTTCTCGGTCATCGCTCGGCCATCGCTTAAAATGCAATCCTTAAATGGGACGAACCAATATCTACAAGTACTCACTTTCCATCCAAGGACTTCGATTTATCAATTGCCTGTAGCATTTGCCGTCCTGTTGATCGCACATCATTTCCTCTTTCTTTGAATCTTCAAACATTGTAAGTTTTTCTTGTGAAAGGAGGGAAAAAGATACGTTCGTGAGGCCTGCTGCTTATTTACCACTTTATTAGTTTATTCATTTTTTTGGTTTCATTTTAATTTGACTGATGAAACGGCCACTTGTCACTTTTACTTCGAACGATTCGCCGAAGAAGTCGAACTGCTACTGTATCTAATACAGTATTACATTCAGCCTATTCCTGTGATTATTACGACTAAGAAGGTATATACCTGCAACAGCTGTACCGCGTTTTCTCATTTCAAATTCCTCGTCTGCTTCTTTTCCTGTCAGGGTACACCCGTACTGTCGCTTTCTTACTCTCCTTTTGAACACGCAAATAATCAATACGACAATGATGATTATCAGAAAGATTCCAGCCCCTGCAACAAGACCTCCTACTATTGACCAGTTTGTTGTTGTCTCGGGCAAAATGAACTAGAAGAAAAAGAGAACGTGTCAGTATTATGACAAGAAAAATGCAGCAATATAGTCATTTTGGAGAAAAGTGTAAGACAGTAAGAAATATTTCTGAAACCGGTGATAAAAGGGGACCTGTAGGCGCTTACAGTAACAACCAGGTCATAGAAACAGAAGGAAACTTAAGCATTCTGGAGACGTGGAAAGTAAATAGTTTCACTTCTCGTCCACCAATAACGCGCTAAACAGAAGCTGGAAAGTTCTGAAAACGCCCCTGTAATATATACTAAATAAGTCTCAGTGTGCCTCTATGATTTAAATTCACAAGGATCGATATTAGAGAGATTTCCGATTGAAGATAATTGGCGATTTCTTTGGTTCTATTCTACTTCTCTCCGTGATTGGTCCAGAAAACCCGTGCCACTTTCTCAACCGATAGCGTTTAAGACAAAAGACAACCACGACTTAGCCACATGTGTTTTCCTTTCTTCTAATTGGTTGATGCGTTTTTCTTTGATTTCGCTTTTGGTTTTACGACTCTCAATGAAATTTGTTCAAATTTTAATTCATAGCTAGCTTACCACTTGTATGTCAACAATATCCTCTTCATGAAGAACATCGTACTCAATCCTTATACGTTCAAAATCTCTATCCTCTCCGGAAACATGGACCTTTAATGAAGTATTTTGACTCTCTTGGAATTCTATGTCACCCTGGAATCCAAAATTTCAGAAAATATTATAGTACAGAAATAGTTTTCCTTGTTTGGCTGTTTGTCCTGGTATGTTTTGTAGGTCCTTCTTTTTTTGCTTTGCCTTGCTTTGCTTCGTTTTTGTTTTTGTTTTCCCCTCTTTTTAATTACCATCCTCTTTGGATAAAAATGTTTCGATACAATCCCTAACTAATTTCCACTGTTGTGTAATCGACTTACCTCCAAGTTATTTCTCACGAAGAATACTTTTTGTTCGCTTAAGTTTACATTCGCTAGAAATGTATCCACTTGAATCACTTCTTCGCTTTCGGCTGAACAGTGGTTGAATAGTTGTACAATGGAACAGTACAGAAACAGGAACCACCTGAACGAAAATCGAAACAAATATTTGTTATACCTTAAGTAGCTGGCAGCTCGATACATTTCTCGATGGAACAGTGATTACTTCTACCTCCATACAAGCCTTAAACATTAATATCATAAGCAGTGATTAACTAAATTGAACATTACAACGATGTCTAGGGCACGTCACATGGCTGATGTTCTGCCCTTTGTAACGAACTAAATAGACCGCACAACCCTTTCCTGTCATTTTGTAGTTTGTTTTGGTGGTCACAATTAAATATTTCGAGGATCAAAATTCCTCATTTAGGGTGCTGTGTTTACAAGGAAGTACGGGCAAACGGCGTAATCTGTCGCGCGAGTCGAAAAACAAAAAAAAAAAAAAAAGAAAGAAACCTGATCATGCAAACAAATTATGTCCCAGATTTCATACGGCCCCAGCAAATGTCTTTTTCTTTCGCCGATTTCAGTAAACCTGCGTAACGGATTCCATTGGGAAAAAGCTTAAACGGTTCCTGCTATTTGTGCTCATGTTATCACCAATCCAAAATTATTTTCCATTCAATGATCACAATGAGAACAACAGCAATAATCGTCTTGGCAAAGTTAACACCATCAAAAGTCCCTGCATATACGTAACAACAATTTTTTTCAACATTACCTGTTCATGATGGCTTGAAATCTCAGAAGCTATTGTCCTGTGGTCTGATTGTTCTGTTAATGGCAAGATTCTCACCACGCAAAGATTATATCTTAAAGACTTCCGGTTATGACGCTCCTCTCGGCAAATCTGACGGATGAGTAGTCATACCTTGTTAGGAAAACAAAATAAACTTATTACCTCATTTTTGCTCAGATATTTTTGAATAATAATTTGAGATCTTTCCGCATCAAGTGTCAATAAGAGAAACCTTCAGTTAGGTTAGACTTTAGAGTTATATCTTTGTTATTAAATTATAACTAAATTACCTTTAAACTCGGATACTTTTAAATATAGCTGATCTTAGTTTAACGACTGTCGCGACTTAACCATTACACTCGTAGAGGACCGTGTGCTTTCCGTCAACAGAGGTACGCATTTTAAATAGACAAGATTCGAGGAATTTGTTGGGGTGGGGAAATTTTAGCATGACCGGAAATGGATTTTATTGCAATTGCAATCGATTTCGCGTGACCCTCCTCCTTTGACTCCATTTCCTTTTACGGCTTCGTATCGTTTGATTTTCGTCATTTTCTCGTGATTTTATTCGAACTTCCAATTTCGGAAGACAGTGGATTTAGACTACTTTGAACTTGGCATGATTACTGAAAAAATTTAAATTGACTTTGTATGATATATCGAGTGAAACGGTACATATATTGACCTTGGTAAGATAAACTTTTGGACAAATGAAATATATCAAAATATAAAATGAAACGTGAACTGCACATTTTTAATGCAATTTTATTACCCATATGCCCATCTTCGAGAAAGGAAAAAAAAGGGAAAAAATAGGAAACGTTCGCGTAGCGAAAATTTCCAAAGTTGTCATAAATGTAAATTGTGAAATAGAAACTTCATAACGCAATAAATCCTTACAGAGAAATATTCCTCCTCTCGCGCGCTCTTCCTTGCATCAGTGAGTCAGTCCGCTTTTTACTGGCTCTACTTTCTATTTACAGTTTCTCTCTGCACCTTTCCATAAGTAATGCAAATCACATTTTTACAGTTATTACAGTGTAGTAGTCTTAAAAATATCTGGTCTGCAGTTCAGGCGCACTGTTTACAGGCGGACTGCCTCAGCCTTCGAGGGTGGCGTGTTACCGTTCTCCCTCGCACCGCTCGGGACACGCGTGAAACCATTTAATGTCTCAGTTTTCCGTCACGCTCACCTCACGATCAGCAGGAAGTCGTAACCGAATGTTTGGACATCAGGGGATAGCTTTTTATATTCAGTAGTCTTTTTGTTTAAAGACGCACTGGAAGTGAAAAACTCGATGTAACGCGCAAAGATTTTGCGTTTCACAGCGCGCGCTGAAAATCAAAATTAAAAACTTGGACCTTTCCTTTGCATGACCTTTCTTTCTGATGTTGGGTTTATACTTGACGTAACTAATTTCATCGGCTATATGGGAAAGTAATGAATCATTCAATATGATCAAATATTTTTCGAATCAATCCGTTAGTTCAGCTGTGTTGTGGTTCCCAGTCTACTACGCGCGGAGGTGAAGATGACGTCAAAGCCAAAGATCCAATCAAGACATCCGATACAAAGAGCGGATCGATTTGAACCGAACTATTCCGCCATTTTATTTGTAAGCTGTACACTATGGCTGTCGATCATAAAAAGTTCCAGTTTCCCAGCTTAACAACCGACGAAGCTGTAGCAAATTGCAAGTCAATGTTTGGATCACAAGTTGCATTAACTGCAGACGATTTTGTACGACCGCAGGTATCGCTGTGTCAAAATTTTTTTTCGTATGTAATCGACAGTATGAACTCGAAAATTAGTTTGAGCAACAATTTTTTCCTGCTTTTCCTGTTTTGTTTAGACTTTGGAAGCGATAACTGAGAATCGCTCATTATCTAAGCTGTTAGATTAAAGAAAAATCAACAGGAATCCCAACATAGAACAGAATCTTTTTTTTTTTTAATTTACCAAATGTTTATATCCATTCGCTTCAACGTGTAGCTGATACAATGCGACTCGGCTTGTTTCCAGTGTTGTCATGTCAGCGTGGATCAGCTGAAATGATAGATCAAAATCCGGATAAAGAATAGAATTTTGATTTGTTCCGAGGGAATGTAAAGATCATATGTTACTGAAGTGGGAAAACTATAGTATTGTTCTGTTGTGAATTACTTGGTTGAAGTCTTCTGAATGTTTAGTTTCAGCAGATGAAACGTTTCTACATTGGAGTACTTACAAATTTTGGTGTTTGCCCTGAACAACTTACGCAGGTATAAGATAATGATAAATTAGTTTGCAAGCTTTATTATAAGTTGGAAGGTATAAAATTATGATGCAGTCTTTGCACATGATAAAACAATGTTCATAGATATTTAATCCAGAGTTAGCACCCATAGCACTCAGTGTACTCTATTAACTAAACAGTATGGCCATGCAACATTTTTATTAGCTATTCTTTAAGATTATCTTAAATTATTCCTTTTTATAGCCACATTTCAAGTCCATGGACTCTTTTGAATACCCAGAGCTTCATGAAGAAAGTGCCCCTTTAGTAATTTTAGCACTAGCCATGTAAGTATTAACAAGAAATGGGATATTTCTTTTTTTATTATTTGCACCCACTCCTCCCCCATGTGCTACATTAGGGAGTTTAAGAAATGGTGAAGGTGACTCTGTGGACAATGTCAGTTAAAAATGAACTTATCTCTTGCCTACAAATTTTGTGATACTCTAAAGTCATTTAGATTGTTTCTCACTGTCAAAACTATCTTGATACTGAATATGGAACACAGTATTAAATTAGAAATAGAAATTTTATATATTAGCTATAACCATTCTCGTTCTCGAGAAAATACAAAATTTGGTCATTTCACATTATTGTTTTGCAAAGACCACAAAGAAATTTACAATGCATAGTCATTGTTCTACTCATTAAACCTTTTGTTTAGTGACATTCTTGTTGTCTTTGCCATCATGGTTTTCTTAAACTCCCTATTTTATGAAAGACCACATCTGGGCACTCATGAAAATTGCATTCAGGGTATTCTGTAAAGGGTAATTGGGATTTCTTTCTTGCCTTGTATTCATTACAAAATTCTTCACAATGTTCTTAAGATTACAGTTTTGTTAAAGAAGAAGAACAAAACAAAAAAAACCACCGAAGTATATTTTAACATCTCTATTAACTCCTACCCACAAAAATTAGTAATTCTGCATGTACTGAACAGGCTTAATTATATTCTTTAGGCAGCGATTCATGTTTGCTTGTGGAGTAGAAAACTTCAACTTATTTGACATTGTTGCACCAAGTAAGTTCTCCATGTGTATACACATGTAAAACTATTGTTATCAAATTTGAGATCTGAAGTAGAATTAAAATGACCTTGAGTACATGCTTAGAGAACCATGTTTATTATGAAGATCTACATTGCTTGATTATTATCATGGGATTGTAAAATTTAACTGATTACTTGTATGCACATTTTGTCATTTTGTATCTAAACTGTCCCTTTACTTCCAGAACCAAAGCGTACTCTTCATTGCGTGAGGTAGGCAGTTCTTTCTTATTGCATTTTGCATCTTGTGAACCATACCCCAGCTCTGCTTGTGCCATCAGAAACAGCTCTGGGCCCAGTTGTTCGAAGGCCGATTAGCGCTAACCCAGGGTTAAATTTTAATCTGGGTTTCTTTATTCCTTTACTCAAAAGTCTTTTTGGGATAATGTTCAGTGCTTTATTTAAAGCATCAAATAGTCATACTCTAGACTAAAAGAATTCGACTGAATTTCCTTTCAAAGCTTTTAGATCTGAAATCAGATTTCACACTAACCCTGGGTTATCTTAACCCAGCTTTGAACAACCCGGCCCAGCTGTTGAGAAAATTGTTTTAAAAGAGTGTATGGGTCATACAATTAGTCCATGTAAGAATTTCTCATGTGTAACATGACTGTAAACTTGCTAATGATGCTTTGCACTTCATGCTTCTCCAATCTCTTAGTTTGAATTTCATTGTGAAGCGTACTAATGAACCTTGTTTATTTATTGTATCTTCAGTGCCATTGTTAACTACTTAAAATTCAAAGCATCAAGGGAGCATATTTATGAAAATGCTGCGGCAGAAGTGGTGAGAATCATTAGTATACAGTTCTAAAAACTTAATTCTGATATTTCATTAGTTTGAGAAACAGATGTCTGATTTATTAGTTTTTCTGTTTGCAATTTAAATTACTTACTGTAAACTGATTAGCTTCATCCTTTAAGCACAATCACATTTCATAAAGTTCTATTTCTGGTGTCCAAGGTTTTCTGCCTTTCAAAGTAAGCCAAAATGTTTTTCCACTTTGTGCATGTAATTTCATTGCAGCTAATGCATGGACATAGCAAAGATGGGTTGTTTGCAACAAAAAATTGCATGAAATTTTTTTTCTTCAACAATTTGTTTTCTTAATATGATTCCATGAAATCTAGGATTCAGCTACTGAGCAGCGACAACATTTGCTCACAAGAAATGAAGAACTGAGGAAAAAGATTTCAGAACTCAAGTAGGACAACATATTTTATATCTTATAAACACTTAACTTGTGTGAGAAATAATTAAGAGATGTGGTTCAACCATTTTGGATCAGCTGATATTCAAACAATGGTTGTTTGACATGCAGCTCATAGTTATATGTACTGTTCAAACCACTATACTGAAACAGTGTGGTAACAAGTTAGTGGAGTTAATTTGATAAGTATCTAATATTATTATTATGCAAGGTTGTTGATTTAGTTTCAATACTACTGTAACAATGAAAGTTATTGTCTGTGATTTCTTTACCATAGAACAAAACGAGCTGAGGAAGAACAACAAGTACAACAGGTGATACTATCTTGAAGTTGTTGTAGAGTTTGGTTTTGCATTTCAATTATAATATAAATCACCCCTGTGTTAAAATTTGATGTTTTTTTTGTTTGTTTGTAACTAGCTTGGGAGTGAAGTGGAAGAGCTCCAGAATGA